TCTCAGCCCGTAAATTGCCACTGCAGGGGAAGGACTGTTACCAAAGACATGCACCCTCATTCTGTAGTCTACTACGTCTTTGCCAAGGTCGTTGTCTTTGTACCAAAGAAAGCGAAGGTAGTCTCTGTGGTCTTCTTGGACCACAAAGCAGTAGAACATTTGTTCAATGTCAGCTGTGACTGCGACTGGTTCTTTCCTGAAGCGAAGCAGCACACCCAAAAGTGTGTTGTTCAGGTCCGGGCCAGAAAGCAGCACCTCATTGAGGCACACTCCATCAAACTGTGCACTCGAATCAAACACAACGCGTATCTTCCCCGGCTTTTGGGGATGGTACACACCAAAAATCGGGAGATACCAGTTCTCTTTGTCTCTATTGGGAGGTGGTGCGAGCTCTGCATGTTGGTTATCTAGCATTTTCTGCATGAATTCCACAAAATGTGTTTTCATTTCTGGTTTCTTGTCGAGCGTACGTCGTAACGACATCAGCCGTTGGTAGGCGTAGGACCGGTTATCCGGGAGTTTGCGTCTGGGGGTTCGGAACGGGAGTGGTGCAACCCAGCTGTTTGTATTGTCCTTGAAGAAGCCTGCCATCTTTTTCAAAAAGATTACATCGTCAGCTGAATAAGCAAGGTGGTTGTCGTTACTGGTGTGACAAAACACAGAGTCTCCCAAATTCTCAGCTGTGGGCCTTTGGTGTGAGAGAGCAGATGGCGGTTGACTAGAGATGGCTTTGGTTTGGCTCAGACTGAAGTCCTCCTTTACACTAAGGTGACTGTCGCAGGGAGTGAGATAGCTTGGGCGCCCATTGTCCAATACATAGGTTTTCAGAACATTCACTTTACTTGGCTTGTGGGCATTACCAAGACACACATCGCCAATGATAACCCAGCCCAGGTCAAGCTTCTGTGCAAATGGGTCATTATCTCTGCCATTGATTTGCTCCCTCACTTTGTGAACTCTCAGAAGGTTGCGTCCTATCAGCAACAGAATGTCTGCACTTGGGTCGAGAGGTGGTATTTGAGCAGCTATTGCTTTCAGGTGCGGGTGGTGTAAAGCAGCTTCTGCAGTTGGCACCTCTTCCCTGTTGTTGGGGATGGCATTGCACTCAATGAGCGCGGGGAGAGGGAAACTCATTTTTCCATCTAATGACTCAACCATGTAGCCACATGCTCTTCTACCAGTCGTGTGTGTTACACCACTACAAGTTTTCAGCATGTATGGTTCAGGTGTGGTTTGTATGTTAAATATGTCAAAAAACTCTGTCTTTGCAAGTGACTGGTTACTTTGATCGTCAATTATTGCATACATCCTTCTGGCGTTGTCTCGCTGACCCTTGGGATAGACTTGCACTAAGCAAACCTTAGAACAGGATCTCCCTGTGATTTTATTTCCACATACCTCTGTGCATGTGGCAGTAACATCCGGGTCTTGTGGATTCGCTTGCTCCCCGCCGTGCACTTCAGGAGATGAAGGAGGTCTGAGCATTTGCAGTGTTGGGGCAGGATGAAGAGCTGCCAGGTGTTTCTCACTATTGCACTCTTCACACTTAATCATGACTGTACAGTCTTTGGCTTGGTGGCCGGTGGAAGCAAGGCAGCGGTAACAAATGCTATTGTCTCTGAGGAACCTCTTCCTCTGCTCAAGCAGCATAGCTCTAAAGCCCCTGCATCTTTTGAGTGGGTGGGGTTTGTGATGTATGGGGCACTGTCTTTCAATGTCTTCGTCTGCTTTTTTTACCTTTGATCCCTCTGATGATATGTCCATCTTGTGCACTGTAACCGATGACCTTTGGTTGTGGTTACTTAACGGTTTTTCTTTTCTGTAGCTGGACATGTGGTTGGCATAGGAAAGAGTCGTGTTGAAAGGTGTGGTAAAGCTTGGATCATTCCTTGCTTTTGCTTGACGTTTCACAAATTCGACAAAGAATGAGAATGGTGGGAAGCTAACATTGTGGTCTTCTTTAAACTTTGACCCTACCATTGTCCACTTCTCTTGAAGATGGAAGGGCAGCTTCTCCACAATTGGATGTACTCCCTTAGCTGTGTCGAGGTAACTTAAACCAGGCAAATAACCATCTAGCTTTGCAGCTTGGAGTTCACACGGCAGATCTGATAGGTCGCGAAGCTTGTGTGGTTCTTTACTGGAGAGCTTTGGAAAGTCTCATATTCGGGCAAACAGGGAGTTTTCTATTGCTTCTGGTGAGCCGTAACATTCCTCTAGTCCCAACCATATCATGTTCAGACCGGCAGGTGGATGCTTTATGTTGACTGCTTTTAATCTCTTGGCGTGTTCAGAAGACTCTGGCCTAACCACTTAATGAGTAGGTTGATTTCTTCAGTGGCTGTTAGACCAAGGTCCCTAACGGTGCTCTGGAATGTGGCTTTCCAACTAAGGTAATTTTCTGGCTTGTCGTCAAATTTAGACAGCCCTCCAGTTATTAGCTGACTCTTGGCTAAGAATCTGGCGAGGTCGCTTGCTATGGTGTCTGCATTATCATTTGAGCTTAATCCGTGCTGCAGTTGTAATGCATCGTGGAGAGTCTGTGGACTTACATCTCTTTGTAGTCGTCTCTCTGCCCCATCTTGTGGCATGAATGAGTACTGCACTGGCTCTTGTTTGGGACAAAGAGGTGTGTACATTACTGGTTGTTTGGATTGTTCATTCTGATATTTACTGTCATCATGGTGAGATGTAATGTCTGGAACCAGGTCAGTGTGGCTGTGTTTATTTATGTATTCACTCACTTTTTGCTCTGGGGTTACTTGTAGGGGTGACAATGGCCACTCTTCCCCTGATTCAGCTTTGTCAAATTGAGCTGCTGCTGACTCCATTACCTCTGCTTTAGCCAAGGCTGCATCTGCTTCCTTTTGGAGGTTGATTACATCCAGAGTTGCTTCTAGACGGGCCTTTTCTACTTTAATGTTCATCTCCTTCTCAGCGTAAGGTAATCTGGCTTTTGCTGCTTGAGCTTCTGCTTGTGCCCGCGCTGCTGCCATACTGGGTCGGGTTGATGCTGACGACCTGCTTGAACATGCTGCAGATGATCTAACAGTCACTTTTTCTGAAGACTTTGAGGACCTTCTTGAGTGAGTGGACCTTGCTTCCTCATCGTTTTGACCTTCAGCCTCTGATTTCTCCATGTTAGTGTAGAACTATCCCTCGACGTCCCTCGCAGAGCGCTATGATTTCACTGTACTGTTGCACCCAATGTGACCCAGTGTCCTATATTGAGATTCACAGCCAGCTAAACTCTCTCTTGCATCACTTCCTCCAAGGAACAGGCACGTGTTGTATTTGGACAGGATTTAATGCAAAAAAGTGTGAAACTGAAATGATACAGAATACAGAAATGTCACATAAACATTAGCTTGGGTTGAACTTAAGTGGACATATAAAACACATCAAAAGTTTCCAAATCACTTCAATAATGTCATATACCCTCTCTTAAAGGTAAACACAATTAAGAAACTTACTCATATTGCCACTCAAAGGGATTTAACGGAGTGGATGGCTTTGGATCGGAGGAAAACACACCATGTCTTGCTTCACTCATGAGCAAACACTTCCTATCACACTTCTTTTAGTGACTAATTGGCTCAACATAGCAAACTGTGCAAACCTGCGCCCCCTATAGGCCTGGAGAAATAACACACAAACAGTTCCAGTACACTATTATAAGTTCAGGGGGTTGGCCCCCGGGGCCGATGGCTCAATAGCTCATAATTGGTCTTCTGTAAATATATTGAAGGTCTTCACCCTCTCCACCAGAATCCCGCTGATGTATAATTGGGGATCCTGGTGAAGAGCGTGTACAAGAGTGGACTGAGCACACAGCCTTGGGGAGTCACTGTGCTCACTATCTTTGTACCTGATGTCATTGTACCAACTCTGACTGACTGAGGTCTGCCTGTAAGGAAGTCAAGTCAAGAAAGCCTACAGTGGCTTGCAAAAGTATTCGGCCCCCTTTAACTTTTCCACATTTTGTCACATTACAGCCACAAACATGAATCAATTTTATTGGAATTCCACATGAAAGACCAACACAAAGTGGTGTACACGTGAGAAGTGGAACAAAAATCATACATGATTCCAAACATTTTTTACAAATAAATAACTGCAAAGTGGGGTGTGCATAATTATTCAGCCCCCTGAGTCAATACTTTGAAGAACCACCTTTTGCTGCAATTACAGCTGCCAGTCTTTTGGGGTATGTCTCTACCAGCTTTGCACATCTAGAGACTGAAATCCTTGCCCATTCTCATCAGAAGCTGAAGTTCATTCAGTAAACAGATGTGACAGAACAGCTGGATGTCTGTCAGTAATCAGCAGCTGATGTGAAACGTGAAGAAAAAAAAAACTTAAATAATAAATAAAATAAAAAAATGAAATAATACAGACAGCATGAACATCTCTTCAATTTGTTATGAATACACTGTTACCATAAAACAATCTACCGCACAAAATATAAACCATTTAGAAATCATAATAAAAATCAAAGTTGGTGGAAGCAGGTCTTGATTTAGGAGATTGCTGCCATCTACTGGCTGATCTGCAGTTATGCTGCTTGATGAGACCCCTGAAGTTCTCAGAACATTTTATGTGCTGTCCAGTATCTGCTGCACCACCCATGGGAAGTATTTCAAGCATCAGTGACTTCAAAGTTTGTCTCCTTCAGTCTCACAGAAACATAAAGGATCAACTAATTTAATTACTTTATATTAACAAGGTTAAATATATTGCATAGTTTAGAATATAACATATATTTAAACACTGTAGTGCAAAAAAAGATATTCACCAATAAGGCTGCCACAATTAGTCGACTATTAAAAATGTCGACAACTAATTTAATTTGTCATTTGAAGCTTTGTAAAATCCTGAAAGACACAGGAATAAGTAGTAGGATTTAAGAGTGTAATAACCAACTGAAACAGAAGAGGGCAGCACTGCATGCCAGCTTTTAAATCCCAAAGAAGAAGAAGAAGCAGCGTCCGGTTTCATACCTGAAGGAAACTGTTTCCAGGGCCTACTCCGTGGATCGGCTTCCTTCGAGGCGTGGACGTCTATCAGCAGAGAAAGTACCTTCACCTATCAGCAGAGAATGTCCCTTAGTCTGTAACACAGTCAAATATATTCTCAAGTAATATTCAAGCATGCCATTCAGCGTGTTAGTACGAGCAGCTCGGGAGCAGCTTGGGAGAACAAGAAAACAGAGACTGCTTTAGATTGTCTTCCCAAAGTGACTCAACTTTATTCACAAGTACAACAGTTTATATAGAGGGTAAAATTCATGAGACAGCAGATTTATCAGTTTAAACCAGTACAGACCAAGATAAGGCAGCGTCTTCCTGCCCTTGGGTGAAGAAGCATCCTTTGTGTAGTGTATCAGTTCAGCTACAATTGTGATTATCTCAGCGACATATTTTCAAGGCACAAAACGAAGAGTTCTTTCATTAGTGAAATCTGAAACAAACCATTTGGCCTCAACAGGTGTCTAAAAGATTAAGAAACTAATGTAGCTGAGGGAGTGATCTCTGTGGTATTTCAACCTTGTACCAGCCTGTGATTCTCACACATCAATTCTTGGGTCAAAGAGAAAAACACTGAAACAAAGGGGCCTTATTGAATGACAGAGTTTTCCTGCATAATGTCACTATAAAACAATATCCAGTAAATGCTCCCATGGTACTAAAATACCTAACAATACCTGTGTCCAAATTTAGCGGCCTGGGTCAGACCCAGGGTCCCTGACAGAGACAATCTGAAAATTTCATTAAAAGCTTAATAATAGTGATGGCCCGCTTGAAGCTGAAGCTCCGGTGCGTGTGTCAAAAAAATCAACACACTGCTTCAGAAGCACTGTGTCGAAGCTTGATTCGTTTGGCCAGAGTCACGTGATCAGTGACGTCCGAGCTTCATTTAGAACCTAACTGCTTCGGTATCTGATTCAATGGTTTATAAGGAAGCGAATCATTCGTGGGATTTGTGGTGTTTTGATGGTGACAGATAGCGAACCACTGATCATTCTACTGAGAGATTTTGAGCCAGCGAGGAATAGAGGAGGTTCTGTTGTGTGGGAGTATTTTGAGTTGATTTTTGTCAATCGGGTGGGTTTTCCAGCTTTGTGTTCTGGCCGTTTGCTTTTGTTTTGTGCGTGTTTATTATATCTGAAAACGGGAAAAAGGTAAAATGTCAAAAATCTGCTTCCATAATATAAATATCATTAAATAACTTTAGAAAACTTCCATTTGACTGTTTACATGTAATGTTGTAAAAAAAAATATTTTATTGTTTAATTAATCTGAAAATGTTAGTCTGCCAAATGTGCAGCAACTGAATGTATTTATTCTCTTTAGCTGATAGTTTGTGGGGCCCAGTTAGACTGTATAACTGCATCTCTACCAGTTTCTCTGCACTCCAGCCTCCTCTGTGCCACATGAAGGGATGTCCCTTAATGCAGGAGAAATTATCTCCACGAAAAGCAACAGGTTCGGCCATCGCACACTAGAACAAATTCGCCTCTTAAATAAAAATGAAAAAGGTTACCTTAAATGCATCATGTTTTTAATTTGCAAGTTCATAAGCATTTTGATAAGCATCCTGAAACATTGCATAAACAAGCATAAGCAGAAACATTGTTTCAGTGACAAGATATAGGCGGCAATCACTTTTTGGCAGGCTTAAAATGGCATATTATGGGTATTAATGATCCTTTAAAAGTTATTCAGGATTTCTTAGAGACTGTTTGGGATATGATGTGCCACATATCATCCTTTTGGATGATACCCAACAAGTTTGAAGCCGAAATATTGTTTCAGTGACAAGTTATAGGCCACAATCTCTTTTTGGTAGCGCTAAAATGCCATGTTCTCAGTCGTTATTCTGAACAAACAAGAAAGAGTCATGGTGATACTGGCACAATAGGTCTTTATTGTTTTAACTACTATTCGACAGTCTTATAACAAATATGAACAACGAGAGTAGACATACTAAACCTGTGGGCATTAATTATTCCATCGTGATGCGTGTAGTCATTCGTGAATGCGATACACACTGAAAGCAACCTTCTGATAAGCGTCATAATTCGGTTACAAGAAACGTTAAAGCTCCATAAATGCATACCTTTGCCTAATAACAAAGGCATAAATGTGTTTGGGTTTTTCCCCCCCACGTTATATCAGTTGCACGGAAGTAGCTGGCAACGCAAGTAATCCGGGCGCTGCAGCTTTAAGCAGCTGCGCGCGCTCCCGCGGACGGCAATCAGTTTCTGGCAGACAATCACTTTTTGGCACAACACCTGGAACGAGCTCACAAAGAGCACGCGCATTTGTTGCGGTCCGGAGCTGTAGGAGAAACACAAGTTAACTCAGAGACACAGACTGATGCAACAAAACCAGTAAGTAGGTGTACAGCGCACACTGTAGTGTGTAGCACACAGGAGTATTAGCTTATTACGTACACGTTGGTAAGTTGTCTTGTTGCAACTGACGAACTGAAACAAACGAGCGTGCTGTGTGTGCAACAGCGCGACAAACATTACCTGTCCTTTTATTAACTGCACATGTAGTGCTGGTCACAGCTGCTGGCTACCTGTGTAAGGCTGTCATGGGTCTGTAGCTCTGTCACCGTTTTAGGGAACATATTTAGTTTGAAAGTAAGTTTCCGGGCTTTTCCTGCCTTTCTGGAGGGATTATATTTCACTAAAAACGATCTAATATGCATGCCCACATAATTATGCATTATTATAATTATAATATATTAAAAACACACGCTGTATTTTAAAGAACATACATTAAGAAGCAGATTATATTAGATTTATATTTTAAATAAGACAAAATTTGGATTTTACAGCAGTAAAATGATTGTATCTACAGTTTAAACATGTAATAAGCTTTGCCCTGCACAGAGTGGATAGTGAAACAAATGGAATCATCATAATGACATTATTTCATATTTATTACTTCCCCCTCCTCTTTGCTTTATTATTGTAGCTCTAGTAATAAATAATAATGTAAGGATTCTGGATCAGCACAGTGATGCCCATAGTATATACAGTATTCTGAAGAAGGTCTAAAATGTCACTGTGTGTGCGTGCATGTGTGTGTTTTATTTAGATGGATTTTTAAAAAAAAATATTACTCAGGATATAACATTGTGCAGACATGGCTGGTAAGGACATGAGGAGGAAACAGCAGGAGCTGTGTGAGGCTACTAAAGGCAGGGCTATAATATTTTTCTGTCATCATTTTATTATAGATTAAGTGCTGGAGTTGTTAGGTGTGGATAATTAGATTATAGTTTATTGCAATAGCAAGTTGTGCCTTGTTCTCACATAGACAGCAAGTGGAGAATGATATATGAAATGATGGGATGGAAGGAAGAAGAGAAGCAAAGAGTGATTCACAGGCAGAGCCTAAATTATTTCTCACAGTTTTTTGTTGCCTTATGGTTCCAAGCGCTGTCACCAATCTTTGCATTTTGTTATTATCTCATGAGACTTGTTTAATCAGCTACCATCTCTCCTATGGACTTTTTAATGTCTACAGTCTCAGATCAACACAGCCCTGCCCTCCAGCACTATCAGCAGCAACATTGTACCCATCAGGTAAAGCATCGGCTACGTTTGCTTTGCCTTGTTGCCCATATTAGATTCTTGATGAATGTGTGTTGTTGTTATTCAGCCTGGTTCAATGTGCCCCTTTTTAACTTTGAGCACCCGCCCCTTTAAACCTCTCTGCACAGCCCTGCCACACGGCAAAGGAAAATTGATAATAGTTAATTTGGCTGATTTGATTCATAAAATGTTATTAAACTGCAGCTCAGAGTAACGTTTAAAATATCCGCTTACCCTGAACCAGAGTCCACACGCTGAAAGCCGAGCACAGGATAGAAGTCCACAGGAACGAAGAGTCCTCAAAGAACGAGTTGTACACAGACATGGTGGATAAAGTACACAGTCTGAATGAACGAATGAAGGCTCCTCTCGACTGTGTTTCTGCCTCCTGCTCCCGAATATTCTCTCTGACACATTTTCTCTCCGCCGGTTGCTCAAATACTCTCAGTGTGTTTTGGAAATATGGGCGGATCTAAACTCCACCCCTCTCTGTGTTGATTGGCTTAAAATGACATAGCCAATACGCTTTTCCGGGTTAACTGGTATGCTTGGTGTTTCCTTGGCAATATTTGTTTACAGTTCTAGAATTTTCTTTTCTTTTTTTTTTTTAAATTGCGGTCAGCGATTTGTCATGTGATTTTTGTTTTCAGAAAAACATCTTTGTCATGACAGAGTGAATTGTTGTTAAATGTCACCTGACAACGAATGATTATAATAAAACAGTAAAAAAAGAAAAAAAAGTACATGTATATATAAGTATATATCAAAAGGAGGGATTTTCCAGACCAAAAAGGCTAGGCAGCGCCTGTATCACCTACGACAACTGAGGAAGTTCAGGGTCTCTCCAAAGATCCTCAGAATTTTCTATACAGGAGCTGCTGCACATTCACCCAGTGTATATACTATACTATATATATATATATATATATATATATATATATATATATATATATAATGTTCTTCCTCTACACCCCCCCCCCCCCCCAAATTTTTGCACATATCGAGGAGCGTGTCCGGCTACATTTCACTGTGTGTTATACTTGTATAACTATGCATGTGACAAATAAAGAACCTTGTACCTTGAACCTGGGATGTCACAACAATGAATCACCGGTTTACAAAGAGATTACAAATGTCTTGTTGCATTTCTTGTTTGGTTTGCGTAACTATTACTATGTGGAGGTAGAAAACGCAAAGTGTTTCTACAGACAAAAGCAAAACAGTGAATTCAAACAAAATAAGAAATTGGGGAAAATTAACAAACAATTAAAACAACACATATTTTGTAGTAAATACCAAGTAAAGGCTTGAAAAAACGTTTTATCACACCATCCGTTTTTTGAGGGAAAGAAAACAAACAAACAAACAAACAAAAGAATCTGCTGGCTGTAAATTGCTAATGCTACCCAGTCATATAAGTGTTAAGGCCAATATGTGACCTGTCTCCCACTGTGACACAAACTTCAATACAAGAGCAGTGAATTTAGGCCAAATGTGTATTTTTATTACAAACTAACCACAGTCTGTCCAGCTTAATTCAGTTTTTATACAAATAAATACGTTTACGTAAATATGTAACTGTTTTATGCACCGTACAAACAGTATAAATAGTTCCTGTTATTACTGTGCCCAACCGGCAGTATGTTCCCCAACCACCAGGGGGAGCTGGTGGAGCAGAGCTGAAAATGATTAACAGATTAAATGCCATGCTGAGGCTGTCATTTTTAGCATCTACATGGATGTTAAAATCACCCACAATAATTATTTTATCTGAGCTGAGAACTAAATCAGATATAAAGTCTGAGAAATCAGAGAGAAACTCTGTAAGGCCCAGGTGCACGATAGATGATAACAAGTAAGACTGGTTTCTGAGTTTCAACATCAGCAGCAGTACTCTTGGCAAAGTGTGTAGTTCTTGGGACCAAACCTGTTGCTGCTGGGATGTTGTTCAACGTCACATTCTTTGTGGGGTACCAAAATATGGAGATGGAGAAGTCCATCCCACTGCTGCTTTGTCTATCTCCAGTCCAGTGTCATCTTCTGTTTCTTTTCTACCTACCAAAAGTTAACCCACTGATTAAAATGTTATCCAAGTGTGAGTGTGCGAGTTGGAAAAAGACAAGGACAAAAGACAAAGGGGGCGCACACAAGTCAAAACATAAATGAAGAGTTCACAGAGTAGGCCAGAAATGGGACAAGATCTAGGGCCAGTGACAGAGGCCTCTGCCCCGAGATGTGAGGGCTGGCTGGGAGGCTAGCATCGGAGACCCTCAAATGGCTGTACTGGACACCAGCACACCTCAGGCATTATGAACGATGGCGGGACAACTCTCTCGACTCTCAGTCATGTGGAATAAAAACCCACGTGAAACAAGAAACTATTCTTCCCAGACTGTCTCGCCCAAGCATTTATCCTCCCTCGCACATTTTCTCATCCATTATTCTGTAATGTTGCCTAAAGTTTAGTAAAATTATAATGCATGGGAAAAACAGGAGTAGTGTCACTCTTGTGAGCAATCATATTTTACTGTAAGTCTTATTAGTAATATGAGTGTTTTCACCATAGAGGCTGTGAGGGAAGCAGGGAGGGTCACAGATTGTCTTTAAACTGCATGCAAAGCGAGGAAAACTAGCTCGCCACAGAGCGAGAAACTGTACAGGACATGTAAATACCAAAAAACAAGGCTTCAGATGATGGTTCTGCTTCAAATGGTGTAAAAAAGCACGTGTGAGACCAATGATTTTAAAATAGATATTCACAGAGAATTGAATATGAGTACACACACACAGTCACTGTATTCATATAAAAAATAACTTTATTTAAATCCATCCGAGAATGAACTTTATATAAAATCTTCAAAACTGTGAACAGTCCCAGTATCCATCTGTACACAACAGAACAGATGCACAAAGAACACAAAGACACACAACTTTAATTCAGTGCAGAAGCAGTGGCTCTTTCAGTCTGTGAAACACACAAGACAACAGTGGTAATGAAATATGACCAGTTTGATGAGGCGTGCAACACTTTTAATTAGAACTGGAACATTTGTACAAAGTTTCTACACAAAAGCAAAAGAAAATGAAAGTCAAGCCTTAACGACAAATGAGCTGAAATAAATGTAAGGTGCAGTTAATAAAGTGCTAAAGCAGGGAACAAAAAACACAAATTAAAGTAAGCAAAAATAATAAAAGGCAGATAAAGGCCTTTTTTTGTAAATATTCACCTACCCAGCAAACATTTTGATGTTGAATAACTTGTTTTTTGGTTTTTATCCTGGTTAGAAAAAAACGTTCCAAACTTAAATTTGAACTAAGTTGTAGACATTACAGACATCATTTTGATCTACTCTTTAACATCGCCTAGATAAGGGGAGTCAAACATAAGGCCCAGGGTCCAGAATCGGCCCAACAAAGACTCCATTCTGACCTGTTCCAGTCTGTTCCTTAAGATCAAAGTTGGCTGTATGTGGCCCTCGATCTAAAATGCACATCCGTGGCCTGGATGTTGTTGCTTTCTACGATAAGAAATTTTGTGTCCTAAAATTGTGTTCTACTCTTCCTTAATCAATTATAACAAAACAAAATATACAAAAAGAAAAAATTGGTCCAATGAAGCCTAAAACATGAATTGAACACACAAACTTCTGAGTTGACTGAAACAATCGTACTATGGTCAGTTTTGACCTGAGAGAGGCTCTCAGGATGTTTGCTGGGTATGTTTGAGCTTATAATGCAGAGCGCAGGTACATGGAGCTACATTGTGACTCTTAATACAAAATAACCGCTATAAACTATAAAAGCAGCAATAAACAACAAACAGCACAAACAACATCTTGGTGCCCTGCCTGCAGGCGTTTGGTGTTCAGGGAGTGGTTATTAGACTGGTCAGTGAAGGATCTGTCTGAGGTCATCAGTTAAAGAGGAATGAAATAACAGCTAGGCATTAGTCTCTCAGTCATCGTTAATTTTGAAAGTAAATTTTGATGTAGTTTTAGTCATTTCCAGTAAGCAGCTAAATCTTTGAGTCTAAAGTTGACTGTCTAACATATAAAGTGCTGCTTGTGTGAGAGTTGCCCCACACGGTTCACAAAGCGTCTGCTTTTCCTTGGCATCAACGTGTCCACGTCTGCTCTACTCTTCTATAAGCGCTGATATTTTGTTGCATTTCCATGAGAAACAAGGAGAATGGGAGCTAGCTGTGTCGTTTACCAGAGGTAGGTCAAATGTACATGACGAAATTATCACTGATAACTGCAACAAAAATTTAAATCAGAATCTGTTTGTATCTTTATTTTGTAACTTAAAATGAAAAAATATAGACACTTCTAGTTTTCCTTACATAAACCGGAGCTCTGTATCAGCTTAAGAAATGCATTGACTCTGTCGTAGAGATCTGCCCACCAGCCAATTTCAAGCTAAATTTGATAAATTAGTTTAAAAACATAAAGTCTCATGTGAAAATCAGTTACATGATGTCATCCAGGACAGCCTTTGTAAGTAAACACTTTCTCCACTTCAGTGTCACGATAACCGACCTGTTTTGATTCAGACTTGCATTAAACTGATTTGGTAAACATGAAGAAACAAAAAGTCCTGAATGTGGTTTCCAAACTTTATGGTTACATCAAATCCTGTTGATGTTTTTACAATCTTCTGCATCTCCAAGATCCACACTGATAGAAAAATCTTTTTCCAACACACTGAGCTGGAAATGTCCAATAAAACTTTCTAAATAAAGCAGCAAATCGATTTCAGGGAGGACTTCCTCTTTTAATTTGTCCATCACTAGTAGCTTTTAGGAAGAATTACTTTGTCCTTAACCAGTAAGGTGTAAAACTTTAATAAGTTAGAATTTTAAGTCTTCAAGTTAATACAAATCCATAAAAATAAATATGATCTTCATCCTTCTACATCTTGAGCAAAGGAGGTTTTCTTCAGTCTTGCATTAAAGGGACTAGGAAGTCCTTAAATCCTTAAATGTTCTTTTTCTTTGAAAATGAGCTCGATAAATAAATCCACTGCCTTTATGATGACCTCAGTGCTGCTTGGCCCGAGTGTCTCCCAGTGGCTGCTGGTTTAAATTTTCCACTTGACTGTGAAGATCCAGAAAAGATAAATCTCAAATGGTCTCAGCTCCATTAACACCAACATTAGCAAGGCACCTGGAATAGTTATACTTGGCTTTGGGTCGTTTTGCCTTCTGAAAGCTTCTGTTGAAAGAAATTGAATAATGAGTCAGTCTAACAGGAAGCAACAACATGTTTGTGTTTTATTTGTTTCTTACTTACATTTAATTTCTGATGAAG